TAAAGGGGGTCTTATACTTGTATCAGTTTGTATTCTGAAACCTTCTACTTATATATTTGTCATGTGGACCCTTAAATTTAATAAAACACAATATATCGGACCCTTCTGACCATTGACCACGCTTATGTAGCTTTAAGATGGCTGAGTTGGCGAATGTGTGTGATTTCACACTCCTTAAGGCGAGTGAATGACATTTTTGGGTTAAAAAAATTAAAATCATATAATAAATAAGTTTTAAAAAAACAATTAGTTGAAAATTCCTTCTTCTTCACCAAATATCCTATCCTTTTCACCATTTTCATCCAAAATCTATGGAAAATCCATCAGCACCATCGCCATTTTTGCCGGTGAAATCGATAAAATCCCTCCTTCACCTGCCACATCTCCACCGCACGCCATCACCATTTTCCGTTCCTCCTCCAACCTCCACAAAATCAACAACCTAAGTCATTCCACCACTAGATCTGACTGAAAAACCTCTTCACCGTCATCACTTCGCACCCTCACCACCTCGTTCTTCTCTACATTGACCGGTGTTGCCTCTCTCTCCCTTACTGCACTGTGAAATAGTGGTCTCCGGCAATTGTGATTTAGTGCTCCGATTTATTGCGATTTAGTGCTCTGATTTGGTAAGTTGATGTTAATAGATTTTGAAGAAGAAAAGAAAAAGATTGTGTTTTGGATGAAAATAGCTGAAAATAATTATGAAGAAGGGAAAAACAAGTTGATTTGACATGAAATTTCTCAATGGATTTTGGCAGTGAATTGGGAAATTGGATGTATGGAGGTTTATCTTTTTCCATTATAGCTCACCAAGATCTTCACCACTTTTTCTATCATCAAACAAATATATCAATAGATCAAGCAAAACACAAAAAAAACATATGAAAATGCAAAACATGAAATTGGAGTAATGAAGTTGAAGAAAATGTTGAATAGAAAATGGTGAAATAATACTCTAAAAAATAAATTAAGATTCTTATTATTTTATTTTTATTAAATAATTTTGATTAATAATTTTTAAAAATAGTTATGAAATAATTATGACATGGCATTAATATATCTGACGTGGATATGACATGTCATTTATGTGAAGGAGAGTGAGCTACACACATGGTCAGAGGGGTTTCAAAATCTCATATTGGTTAGGTTCAGGGGTCCAGATGACAAAAGGTTAAGTAGAAGTATCTAGAATACAAACTGATACAAGTATAAGGGTCTACCAGACCATTTTGTCTACAATCTATACTAAAGAAGACAATTATAGTGGGAAGTTAAAATTTGATTGAGTTGAATAAATAATTTTTTCATTTTTTGAAAATAAAATAAGTATATAATTTTTTCTCCCATATTTTAAGACATGCAAAATTAAATAGTGATACTTATAGATATGAAAGATAAGATAATTCTGAATATGTTATTAATATAATTAAAAGATCGTCATTTATAATTGTAGAGGTGTGAGTTATAAAAATATTTGTTTTAAAAAAAATTAATTGTGAAAAAAACAAAAAATAGAAAAGAGAAAAAAGAGATAAATATAATTTCTTATTTTATTTATTTTGTATATATAGTAACAATTACATTTATATTAGTTGAAGAGTTTTTAAAGTAATTTATTATGAAAAATTAGAAAAAATTGAAAAGAAGAGAAAAAAGAGATAAATTTAACTTGACTTGTATTAAATTTTATTTATTTATGCATATACAAATAACAACTATGTTTGTTATAGTTTAATTATAATTATATTTGTAAATATTTTTAAAATTAATAAAGAAGTTAAAAGAAATAATTTTGGAATAATATAATTAGTATAATATTAATGAGGAAAAAGAAACTATAAGTGTATAGCTATTTTGTGGAAATTTGAATTTGGTAAGAAAAAAAACCTAAAATGAGGAAACTAAAAGCACAATTATTTTGGTAAGAGAAAAAATAATGAAAAATAAAGAAGGAAAGGAAGAGAACTTAGGAAGATATAAATAGTGAATAATGAAGAAAGAGAAAATTTTAATTTGTATATATTTTTTATTTTTTTAAAGATAAATTACGAGAAAAAACTAATAAAATAAATAAATGATAAATCTTTTCAAAGGGGGGTGTCATGTCTGACTTTTAGTGTTGTCGCCCTTGTATTCCAATTATGACCCTTTCTTTTATATTTATTTGAAGAAATAAAAAATTATTGATAAATATTATAGTTACAAAATTGTTTATTACTTTAATGTTTTTAGATCTTCTTCATATTGTTTATGAATATCCTAAAAGTTTATGAGGTATTCGAGATATCTTTAAGAAAGACTATTGATATTTTTTAAGATTTCTTGGTGAGTATTCAAAAGTTATAGGATATTTGAGATTTTAATCTTTATAAATATCTAATATTTTATGAGATATTTCAGATCATTCAAAAACAATATTTAATATTTTGATCTCTTCAGAAATATCTAAAAACTTATCGAATATTCAAAATAGCAGAATTACATCAAAAGTATCTTTTTGATATCCTCTGGGATATAAAGAATACAAACATTTCATATTAAAGACATAAAAAATTAATATTTCGTAAAACAAAATACATTAAAAATAGAAATAATAAATACACAAGAGAGCTCAAATATCAAATTTGTATAGAAACTGAATAAATTATGTAATTTAAACACTACATGAAGATGAAAAAGTTAAAAGTGAATATCAATGATTTTATATTCCAATATGTGGATGAGTTTTGATTTTCAATAAAGAATATGAAAATTTTGGACGATCAATGATAATAATTTGGCCATTAGTGCTATTAACTCCTTTTTACTTTCTTCCCTTCATCGTATTATTAATGTCATTTATATTATTTCCTTAAATTACTTTATTTTCTTTTCTATTTTTTGTTATTAATTTATAGGAATTTATATGTGTGTGTAATAATACCTAAAATAAGAAATGGTATAACAACCTTCTTAGTCTAGCATTGATATTTATTTTTTTAATTTATTTTCTTTTAATTACATTTATCTAATTTATAAAGAATGAAATTTTACATTAAATTTTATAAAATATCAAAAACAACTATAATAATTCGTATAATCATTAGTGCTATTAAGTTCTTTTATTTCCTTTCCTTAATCTCATTATTAATATTATTTATATTATTTCTTAAATCATTCATTTTCCTTTCTTTCTTTTATTTTATTCCCTTTCCTTATGTTTTTTATTATTCCTAAAAATATATTATTATAACTTAATAAGTATTGCAAAAAGTAATTTTACAAAATTTTCTTTGTTTTTTTAATTATTTTTCAATAATATTATACACTATCATTATTATATAATATATAGTAATAATAATAATAATAGAGCTAAAATAAAATTATGCATGAATATTTAATTTACTTTAATTAATTATATTTTCCGAATTTTTAAAGTCTATAAGCTACTTAAAACAATTCAATACAAACACCCCTTTATATTTAAAAGCCAAAAACCTATGTGGAAAACAAACATTTGAAAATATATTGAAATTCTATAATTTTTAATGGTTATTACGGTGTTAATTCTTTGCTAATATATCCTTTTTCCTTTTGAGTTTTTCATTAGGTCATTACTCATTTTGATTGTTTTTTAACATCGATTGTGAATAACATGTAATGATATTTTTTATGGAGATATAGTGTTAAAATAAGACTTAATGATCAATTGACGTGATAGCAAAAAAGGGGAAGAAAGAACGTAACGAATAAAGTAGATTCGAAATATTATTTTAACAAATTTTTTCATTTGAGATGCGATTTTATATATGCACAGTCCAGTCCATTTTTCAACATCTTCGTATCTTTTAAGTAGGTGTTCGTACATAGATTTGAAAAAATAAATAATGTTATTTATTTTTTACGAGGAAAATCTAATTCAAAAAGATAATTATTTTTTATTGTGATTATTTTTATTGCATTTCACCTTATTTTAGTGATTTATTTTATTTTTTGGTATCATTTGTTGATATATAAAAGAAAAATTTGCGATTTAAATAAAATATTATTTGTTTCAATTTAATCTTTGAATTACTAATACCGCGTAAAGCACGGTTCAGTTGACTAGTTTGAACAATAAATTTGAATAAAATATTTAGTTTTCCATGTTGGTTAACTTTCTATTTTAAAGATTAGTAACTCTCAATGTTAAAATGAGAAAAATAATGTCATTTATATATTAATTTTGTCAAATGACAAATACTTATTCTGCTCAACGATAGTTGTCCAGTATTGACTATATACATTTTTAAAAAAATTATAAATAGAAGAATAATTTTACTGTATTATCCTTTAAATATAATAAATACAATGTCTAATGTAATAAATTATAAAACGTTAATTAACTAATTTAGAAGTAAGGTATAAGATTATAATTTAAACAGTCTACAATATTTTTTTATTTTAAAATAAATTAATCTTTGTTTTATTTTTAATTAAAAGATATTAGAGTAAAAAAAGAATAAAAAATTTAACAAAATAAAACAACATACTATTAAATATGTTATTTCACACAAAGTTGGAAGACATTGTTGACATATGATTAAAAAATAAAAAATAATGTTAAATATGTTATTTCACAAAAAATTGGAAGATCTTGTTGGCATTTAAGGGTAAACAGAGAGATTCTTGAAACAAAAAATTATTGAATTCGAACCATATAATTCAGTTTTGAAGTTGGGACTGACACTTAAATTCCAAGTTTGACTATTTCTTTCATTTTAGGTTGAATTTATTTCATCCTACGTTTAAGTAAAGATAAATTTTATTTTTATTTTAAATACATTTTGGTATTTAATTTAATTTTTATTATAGAAGAGCCATCACATGGGCGACCAAGGGCATAATAGTAATTTTACTGATAATATTGTGGCCAAATATTTTGAAAACCAAGTATAGACAATTAAGGGCATAAAGGTAAATTCATAATTAACATTGTGGTCAAATATTTTGACTTCATTATCATAACAATTCTAGCTATGTCTAGAAACATATATCTTCTTCATTATTGTACCATTCTTCATTCTATATCAGTACGAGTCTCATTGTAGGTTAAAGGAAATTTTCGGTAACTGGTAAGTATTTGATGCTTATTTATCTATTTGTACTATTTTAGGAAGCAATCTTCTTCATAAAAAAATAAAATAATAGTTGTTCTTCTTAAAAAAAAAGTTCCATATCTCTTCATCCCAATAAAAGAGAATTCCGAAATTTTCTAATCAGAATGTTTTGCAGAGACATTAATTCTTAAAATGATTTGGTAATTTATTTTTTTCTTTGAATGATGTGTTATCTTCTTTAATTTAATTTTAGTAAATAGCTTCCTTTACTTTGATGCTATGGCATTATTTTTATCTCAATGTACTTTTTCTTGTGGAATTTTAATGCCTATGTTATCTAATGTTCTTGTTTTATCAGTTGGAATATAGTAGTTGTACGATTTGAATTTTACAGGATTTTGGAAGTGGGACAATGCTACAAGTTTAAGAGGTAAATTTTGGATGATTTTATACAGTTAGTTATAACAGAAAATGGTACTTGTGCTTCAATATCTATGTACTTTAGGAAAAAATTGCTGGTATGATTACATATTTGTGCTTTATTGAGTTGTAATATAATAGCCATATAATTTGGATCTTACAGAATTTTGAAAGTCGAATTTATTTGACGTGTAGAGACAAATGCTTTGGAGTGTTATAGGTAAACTAGGGACTTCTTTGTTCTGTAAGCTTAGTTACACCGAAAATTGATAGTGCTTAGTTTCTTTTACGATTTGATATTTGAACTCATCATCCTGCATGCACTTTGTTTCAAAATCATTTTCTCTTCTTAAGTTAGGAGTTTTAAAAGGTTACTTCAGGAATATTCGTACGGAGAAATATGTGCCTATAAAGTTTATGGTCCATTTCTCATATGATGTAAACAAAACTTCAAATAATGCTCTTGCCGACTTTTTTATCTGCATAAAGTGCAAGTTTGTAAATGCATTTCCCATCTACAGGTAATATAAATTGTAAATAAATTACCATAAAGAGAAAGAGGAGACTGAAGAGGGAATTTCCGCAGAGACAGGTAAATTTCTCTTCTTGTTGTCTGATGATAATATTATGATACTATGGTGTATTGAATTGACCACCGTCTAACAGCTTCTGTGAATGTTCATAAAAGTTCTCTTTAGTCGTATTGTGTATAAAGTTATTTTTTTTAGTTCCTACTTGGTTAAATAAATCAACAATCTTAACGGACTAACTTCCATTGATTTCAGCTGTGTATTATGCAAAGTACAACCTCCTTCTGAAGATGTTAATATGGATAATGTTGAGGATTTGAGGACTTCAAAGCGAATTGTCATTTATAATGAGATATATTTAATTTCTTGTTACAGTTTTTTATGATATCTTTTGGGTTTTGTTTTTAAGGCTAGACCTCCTAAATTACACTTGTTGTTCATGTTTTCAATAGCATAATTCCATGTCAGATTTTACTTCTGGCTTGCTTCGGGGATTTCTTCATGAGGGAAAACTTCGTGATAACCGTTTTAATCCATTTGAATCACTGGTAATTATTTATGGGTATGCAGACATGAATATGGCTTTTGATGGTGATATAGTCGCAGTTGAGCATTTGCCTCAAGAACAGTGGCACGAGGAGTAGTCTTTGGAATTAGTTGATGAAGGTTTGTCCACATTGTTTTTTTACTTTGATGAACATGATTTTCTTTTATATTGCAAAATTGATCTACTTTTCTTTCGAACTAGGCGAAATGGCCTGGATTTGTCCTCTATTAACAATTAGATCATCATGATATGGACTTATTGACTAACTTAAAACCATTAAAGAGTTATTATTATCTCATAAGACTAATTAGCACTATCATTTGTGTCATACGTGGCTTAAATTCACCCCTTCTACCTCCTCTTAACTCTCTACCCGGCCTCCATTCAACCTATCAATCCTTCTCCATCTACCATCGTTATCGTTGGCCATGGTTATGGTCAAGGGAAACAATAACGTCAATATATGCATCTTAAGTTTAGAATGTATCTCTTAATTTTGTTTTGCTAATTTTTCTCTCCCTTTCTTATTCTGCTTCTAAGGTTAATGTTTTATAAATTTTTTCATCATGTGGTGACAACTAATATATCCTTATCTAGAGTTGGATACAAAATATTACGATTTAGGAATATTGAACTGTGATGCCACTAACGATCAAGTTATTGTTGAAAATGATGAGGGAACTCTGAAGTAAGTTAGATTAATTGTTCTTCTTACTTATTTCCATCCATTTCACTCTTAGAGATTCATTGTTTTAGGTGATTATTGTTTTTTTTCCTTCAGAATTGATGTAAATTTATAGTTTATTAAAATGATCAGTTGAAGTTGATTAATATATTAGTTTGAGGAATTAGCTTTCTTTGTGTTGTTGCAAATTCTTTTGTATTACACACCAAAGCTAGCATGTAAGAAATGATGGAATGCATGTAGTCACCTTAGATGATAAATTGGACAACACCTTAGTTGAATTTTGAATTTTGAATTTATCAAGAAAGTATAGCATGTCCAATCAACCTATGTGGCCAATTCTCTTAATGGTTGTTGGTATTAGAAGTAGTTTTTCCTCCATCTGATGAAGTGGTAAGAAAGATAAATATCAGCATATCTTGAGAAGCTTGCTACATTCATAAAGTATAACCACCCCCATATTCCCATTATAAAATCCTTATCTCAAATTATGACAAACATGATAGCCAAAACATGCATATTCCACTAATAAAAACCAAATAGTTGATCTAAAATAATGATGCGACTTACCTACAACACATGCCAAAACACAATCAATATAATTGGATTCTGTAGATTTAATTATCTGATTAAAGCTCAGAAAAACAGATGATCCTAAAAAGTGAACATCTTGGTTGAAAAGAGAAGTATCATCACAATTAGGAAGTAAGACACTAAAATGGAAGCACTACATATCCTTTGTTTGAAATATATTGAAACACTTGTAAAGTTATTTCTTTATTTTAGTAGCTAGAACTGACATTTCAATGATATTCTTATGATATAACACTTTGCCTTGATCATGTAGTTGAATACGTGATTTAGCTTAGTCGTACGTAAATATAAAGAAAATAATATCAAGGTATTCTTTGACTTAAAAAATAGCATGTATTGCTGAGATAAAAAGATAATTATCAATCAAATTGCTTAATATGAGTGAGGGCTTCATTTAAGATCTAAATTGAGTATTTGGTTGTTATTACTAAGTGTAGTATTACTAATACCTTTCTTCTTATTAATTTTCTACTATATAAAACATAATAGACTGATTCTTTTTGCTAGGCAGTCATTAGGTGGGAGAAAATTAACAATTTGATTCTTAACCTTCAGTTTTATTATAAGATTAAGGAAAGACCTCCCAGGCCGTATGCCCATGGGATGGGGTAGGACTCTTCAAAAAATGTGTGCGTTTATCCAGAAACATAGGACCTTGGCTTACCAATGGATAAATGCAAGCTTTAGTAATTGATCTTGTTATGAATAGGCCTAGATAAGTATTGACAAAGCGGTCCACACTGAATTAAGTGTCCATGTATGGAATTCGGGTTGATAATTAAAGAAAAGTGAAAGCAAAAGAGGGTTATACAAATTGTTGAGAAAAATGTCTACCCTCTCATCCCCTTCTATGAGTTCTACTTCTAATACCCTTTCTTCTACTTATGATTTTCAATTTCTATTTAGTTCTTAAATTCCTTTGTAATTCTAATTATGAGTTAGTGAAATAGATTTGTCGGTTGTTTGAATTTGAATTGAGTTGGCCTTGGTATTGAATTTGTTATGTCTTTTACTTTGGGTTTCATTTTCACACTTTAAAGAAATTTATTATTTTATATATTGATGAGGGATGAATGTCATACTTTGTCTCGCTCAAATATTATTACACCTCACTCCTATGTACTTTTCCTTCAGACTTGATTTTGGTATTCTTTAAAGACTTAAATATACATCACATTATATATCTTCGCACTCAAACCTCAAACAACGAAATTATGTTTTAGTTTATTCCTTGGCTTCTTTTCTTTAAATAAATTTTGATATATTAATATTTAATTGTATTCAGCTTTCATCATTCAACTTTGACAATGCCTCACTGGAATTATCAACAATGCTTTATTTTTAACTTGACCGTCTAAATCAACAATAAAAAACAATCAATTTGGCATAGTACTAATCAAAACAAATACTTCAAGTTGTAGATTGAGTATATTTTCATGTTGATCTATTAATACTAATATGATAATAAACTTCAATTATAAACGAGAAAAACTTCTGTGTTATGTATGATTTTTATCAGACAAGGAGAACACAAGAAAGGACGAGAGTCACACTCACGTAATTTTTCAAAAAAATAAGTTTTGACCCAACACCCGCTTAGAGACTGTGTTTCTCCGAATAGTCTTACACCCACCCCATACTCACTCCACACCGTATTGTTATTCCTATTTCTAATTAAAATCAATGGTTGTTCAGAAAAAAATTGATTGCACCATTAGTGATGCATTGACATACCTATGAAAACAATAATTGATGTAGTGAATTTACTCTTTTATCCCTATTAATTATGAAGTGAATCAATTAAAATTTTAAGATATTTAAAAACCTCTATCTTTTTAAAAGTAATTAATTGTGGATAAATAAGTATGAATTTTTTTTTTCATTTTTTGATTTGTTAAAATAGACAAGTAATTAGAGACATCTAAAAAATAAAATATAAAAAAGTAACCAGAGACAGATGAAGTATTTATAAATAAATAAATATCAAATGTAATTGTATTCTCATATATTAACTAGGTAAAGATAGTTACTTCAATATCTAATAGTAGGACTTTCTCATCTTGAACATATAATAGAATCATTATCTTTGGGCCCATGCTTAGTAAGTGCAAAACTTATCTAATATTCTTATAAGTATGAATTATTGTCCGTTCATTTTTCAATCTGTTGAATTTATACTAAATGACTTCTTGCAGTAAAAATATTATTTTAGCTTTTTTTTTTTTAAAAAAAATGTTATGTCAATTCAGTTACATAGGCAAATGAATTTGAACGGAAATGTATAAATCTTCCCCTCATTTACTTGGGGATGATTTGGTTTGAAGGATAACACCAAATATTTTTGGAATTAAATTGTTTTGTCACTTAATTTATTATTGGATTGATAATATGATAAATTATTAGGGGATTAAAATTAGTATCACGACAAATTATTCCTTGAGTGGTATAGTAATTTCGAGATAAAATAAACAAATTACAAAAATATTTTTGTGAACCTTTTTTTCATCACTTTTCACACACATAAAAGGTATTCTGTAAGCAAATAATTTGTTCTTAAAATTTAGGGAAAATTATCAAAAATACTCATTAACTTTAGTGTATTATTTAACTATACCCTTGCCTTTAAAATGAAGCTAGTTTTGCCTCTGCTATTACTATTTTCACCATATATGCCCCTCATTTGACGGAAAGCCCCAAATTAACTCAAATTAACCCAATTTTTTTAAATAAAATATATTCCCATTATAAACCTAATGTCCCGACCCCTCTATCTTTTAACCCGTATAACCTGTTCCCATTTACCCATCCATTTCTCATTCGATCTCCATCAATTTCTTATTCCCCAATCTCCTTGACCTTCTCTACAAAAAATGACAATTTGAGGCTTTTCCTGTAGCTTCTGAATATTTAAATGAAAGAGTTATTCAAATTTCCAAACTTACATAGTCACGAAATGTCATGCCGACTTCCATGCTTTGTAAGATTTCTTCAGTGGTTTCTAGTGAGACCTTGTCTTTGACATTGTCAAAAAGCAACAGAAAATATTCAAGCAACACAAAGATAATTTAATTTGCTTCATAATTTATACTGTGCCTGCCATGGTGGTCTTCGATAACAAGCGAGTTGCAGATTCTTTTTGTGTTGTATATCACCGACGACGGAAGTTTACAATTGAGAACTCAAGCGGGGAGATGAATGAGAAATGGATGGGTAAATGAGAATTGGTTATACGGGTTAAAAGATAGAAGGGTCGTGTCACTGGGTTTAAAATGGAAAATGTGTCTTTTTAAAAGTTTGAATTAATTTGAGTCTGGGACTTTCCATTAAATGAGGGGAAAATATATGGTGAAAATAGTAAAGGCAGGGGCAAAACTAACTTCGTTTTAACGGCAGGGTATAATTAACTAATAAAATATAGTTAAGGGATATTTTTTACCCTTTTCTCTAAAATTTATGTAATCCCATGTTCAAGAAGGTGAGAGATGTTAGGACCGAAAATAAGTAGGTGTAAATGCGGAAGCTAGCAAAACAAACCTCGAAAGACCACGAGTAAGAAGACAACGAGAAATATACCAAAAGACACAGAGATTTAACGTGGTTCGGTCAATCGACCTATGTCCACAAAGGAGATGAGCAATCCACTATAAATATGAGAATACAAAATACAGAGTGAAATAACCTCAACCAATTCACTCGGAATACATGGGAGGTTCACACAAGTGATAACGTATCAAGCTTGTGACCCACAAATTCTCCCCCTAACCAAAACTCTCAAAGTCTTTAAGACTACATTGTGAATGCCGATTAAGTTAGAAGGAACATGCCTCCATTTATAGAGTCCTAAACCTTTTCCTACCAAAAAAAGGATTAGTCAATTCAAAACCTTTTCCTAAAAGGAAAACCTATTCATGGTAAGAAATCAGGGCAAATAAAACCCAACAAATCTCTCCCTTGGCCTGAATTTCTGACAAAATAAATTTGTCCACCTTCTTTACTTAATCTTCAACAACTTGCTTCTCTTCTCCATAATCTCCTTTGCAAAATTTGTGTCTCAACACAGAGAATCTCTCTGAAACAATTTCTCCAACAAAATGTTCATTACTGTCAAAAAGGTTGCGACTACAACTACACCCGTCAAGATGAACACCTCCTTCTGGCCTGGTTCAATCATCAATTATCGAACCACTAAACCTGACTCCATCATTAAATCTGGCTCTGATACCACTTGTTAGGACCGAAAATAAGTAGGTGTAAATGCGGAAGCTAGCAAAGCAAACCTCGAAAGACCATGAGTAAGAAGACAACGAGAAATATACCAAAAAACACAGAGATTTAACGTGATTCGGTCAATCGACCTACGTCCACAAAGGAGATGAGCAATCCACTATAAATATGAGAGTACAAAAGACAGAGGGAAACAACCTCAACCAATTCACTCGGAATACATGGGAGGTTCACACAAGTGATAACGTATCAAGCTTGTGATCCACAATTTGTCCCCCTAACCAAAACTCTCAAAGTCTTTAAGACTACATTGTGAATGCCGATTAAGTTAGAAGGAACATGCCTCTATTTATAGAGTCCTAAACCTTTTCCTACCAAAAAAAAGAATTAGTCAATTCAAAACCTTTTCCTAAAAGGAAAACCTATTCATGGTAAGAAATCAGGGCAAATAAAATCCAACAAGAGAGATGGTTGTGATCGGAGGGAGTGGGCTTCTCCGATTTGCTAGAGGGTATGTTCAAGCTAGTACTCGTTCATGGGATTATAAAACTAGAGATGCTATTGTTCAATATGATGCTTAGAGGTTTTACTAATTTTATATTTTTTTATCGTGTTAGTTATGAGATGTAGTCTAGACGAATTTTAAGAATATATTTTGTATTATTGTTCCAAAATGATTCATAAAAAGGGTAGACATTTGTTGATTTTTGCTAGTTAAATATGTACCTATTTTCGTTCCTTTTTAAGTTTTTATAAATATTTGATGTTATTCCTTGCTTGACCCCTCCCCCCCCCCCCAAAAAAAAAAAAAAAAGAAGAGAAAATCCGATATTACGTATGTATATTCATAGAGAACACAACTTATTTGGTTATTTATGTAAATTAAGTGTATCAACTTTTTTTTGAATATTTTAAGTTAAAAGAATCTTAAACACTTCTATAATGTTAAAAAAAAAAAACTAAAAATAGATACTGTAATTATTTATTTTGAAGTTATTACAATAATAAAAGTAAACAGATTTCCTAAAATACTGTAATTATTTATTTTGAAGTTATTACAATAATAAAAGTAAACACATTTCCTAAAATGGGTCCAACATGCTATAGAGTATGTGGTATCCTGGAAAAGACCGAAACCTTTTCGGATGTCATCATCAATTCTTTTTCTTTTTTTGGAAATATTATTTGGATCCATTCATTTTAATAAATAATTATTTATTTTATTCTTTAATTGTTATTATTTATAATAAAATCATGTTAAATTTGTAATATATATTAAAAGTGAATCATATATGCAATATATATGTATTATGCTTGTTTGATAAAAAAATAACACATTATATAATATATTAAAATATGATATAAAGGCAGGGGCGGACCCACATGCATCCGTAAGAATGCACGTGTCCCTGATAACTTTTTTAAAAAATTCGAATAGATATGTAAAAATAGTTAAGAAAATGATGATATATATAAGTGTGCACCATAGTAATCAAAAGGTGCTGTTAGTGCACTGGTCGAAGGTGCTTCCTTGAGTGGAAGCACGCGGGTTTGAACCAAACTCAAGGGTGTATATATAATTAAATTCTTATCTCATTATCTCACATAAATTGGTAAGTTCTTCTTTATAAGCATATTTTTTTTATGAGATTTGTTGTTGATTCTTGTATCTTGTATAAATTTACTATTAGAAATTTGACTTACTGCAACGCTTATACCATCGTAGCAATAGCTAACCTATTACAACGGTTATAACCGTGGCCAAATATCCTTGAATCTAATAGAACAATTCTTAAAATAAACTGTTGCATAATCCCGATAACCGTCCCTATAGAGAAGGTATAGCAACAAGTTTTAAAACCGTTGCTATAGACAACTCTATGGCAACGGTTTTTTAGA